GAGCGACTTAATTAAAGAATGTTTTCACGGGAAAAAAGAATATCTCGACGAATCGAGAAACTCGAGCGTGCAACCCGTTTAAATTAAAGGCGGAAGGAAAGAGGGGAATGGAGAAATAGGAGGAAGTAAGAACGAGTACCTCGGGATAATGGAAAGGTTGCGTCTGAAGATATACTTTACAGCGTAGCGACGTATTTTGGAAATATTGCCGAGAATATTACTCGCGATGCAGGACTTACTTAAGTTCACTTAATTTACGTAATTACATTCCCGCCGTCTCTGGAATAAAAATAATTTCGAAGGGAAGGACATTAAGAGAATATAAAAGGATTATATTGTGGAAATATAATATGTTGTTTGCACACACATGACAAATGAATTTATGAGATACGCGCGCATGGAAAATATCATGGTGGCTTTCTTCTAGGCGATGTTATCTAGGCGCGTATCTCTGACAAGGTAACTTAAAGCCTTCTCGAAAGCGGAAACACGTTATGACTAATGTACTTACCTTAGCTTCGCGGTCTTGCTCCGAGCGTCGGCGTACGAATAAATTGGGTTCTGGTTGCGAAAGGATCCATAGGCCGGACACAGAAATCAAAGCGTTGAATATTTATTGTAAACGAATCGCTATGTACAAACGTATTAAATACAGATGCATGACATTTATACAGGATCGCAAGGGGAGAGTAGGACAACCGGGGAAGGTCTGTGATCGCGTACAATAGTCAATATGCCGATAACAATAGATAACTGGCCCTACACTAGCCGCTCTGTGCGCAGTCTGCTTATTTACAACCCATTTCGCCGTTTATATTTGCACGCAGAGATTGGCGTGTGCCGTTTCGCCCGTGCATGTCTAGCAGCCTGGAACGACGATATTTATTTGTAAAGGCTGTCGCGGCGCGCGCGCAAGGGAGAGAGAAGGAGAGAGGGTGAGATAAAGGGAGGGGAGGGGGAGACAATGAGAGAAGAGTGAGAGAGAGCGCACGCGCTCTCTATTTAAATTATTCGACAGACACGGTAATATGATAGACGAGTGTGAACTTGAGATATATGACGGGTTCTCTGCACGAATCAATACAGCTTTATATCGCACGACGTTCTGAATAATTTTGTATTTTGACAAATTAGTGAACCCAAATACTTACAAATACTTTGAAAATGATGGAAAATGATGGAACTATGTGAAACGTTAAATTTATCGATTATTTTTCTATACATTAATTTTTTCGTAATAATATGTAGATTTTTTTTTTCATTTGTTCACGAAAGATAGAAGATATTTAACAAAGAATTATAATTACCACATTTTTTACGTGCGCGAGTCATTTTGCGAGTGTGGTTGCAAATGAGATAAAAGAATTCGAAATTGGCACGCGATACATTCGGTCGATAACACAACGCAAGGAATGCAGGAATTTAATTCAATTTGTAATGCTGTTCCATTTTGTTCGATTCTATCCTGCATTTTAGCAAAGCAAAGATCGTGTCTCTCGGCTGATACCTCCTCGATCCGCATTGAGAAACGAGCATGAAGAATGAATAGTGAGGGATGAGGCGGACGAGGGATGAGGGGAAAAGGGCGAAAAAAAGCACGGCCGCGTGTTTCGTAACGAAGGCAGCAGATATTAAATTCCATCGGCAAACGCGGAATCCGCGTGTACTCGGAGCGTCCGAGTTTCGACTTTTGTTTGCGTCTAACGGCGAGAGGCGAGTGCGCGATCGGGCCGCTGCCATTGGCTGCGTACGCATGAAAAATAGAGCTCGTTTGAGCTGGTAAAAGAGAGAACGCGTTGTTCAACGAAAATCAGACTCCCAGCGAACGTGGATACGCTCGAGCGATGCCCGAATAAATTGTGTAAATCTTTTTCGTTCACCAGAGAAATGGTAAAGTTCTTTTCTCATTGAATTGTATTTCGTACCACTGCCGAAGCACATTTTGCGATATTGTCTTCTTCGACATATTGGTCGATGCATTGAATTGTGTTACGTATTAGGCGATTAAGTGACGTTTTGTCAGAGAGAAAGTTCCGAGACGGTATAAAAAAATCTTATTTTATAAATTTTTCAAATCTTCCTCTAACTCTGCTACAAATGTCGCTTACCTTTATTAACTTAACGCAGCTTAATAGTTAGCTTAATATCACTGTGCGCGATTTAAAAGGCTTCTGCAGTGGGAGGAATCGTGGATTTTGCGGCCTGATCCATTTTCAAACATCTCGCCGATGCGCTCATTGAGGAAGAAACATATAATGCGAGATCAAAGTCGATGCATTTACAACAATTAGGGTCTCGTTATTAAAAATTGTACAAAGTGTCTTCTTTTCCGTCTGCTTAATAGATTATCGCTACGTTGAGAATAAATAGTCGGCGGAGTTGATTCAATTACGTAATAATCTACAATAATTTTCACATTTACGGTTTTCTCTGAACGTCAAGGAGAATAATCTTCCTACAGAAAGAACAGTCATTGTAAATTGACTTATCAAAATCAATCATCTTTCAAAATAAATAATAACGATATGTACAAGATATGTCGAATTTCCAGTGATAATTATGAAAGGTCTCTCTCCATCATTAGAAAGATATGTCATTATTTAAAGCATACTCTTCTTGTTGTATAATTCACTACATTTTCGTTAAATATTAATACAAAACATTTATTTCCAACAATTCACTTATTTTATTAAACCGATATATGAAGCTATATGCGAAAAATTCCAATTTTGTATTTCTTTTTGTAGGAAGAAATATGTATAACGTAATTCGAATCACGTTCGATCGTGCAGGAAGCTTCAGTCTAAAATTATTACTACGTTATATATTTTCTCAAATAATTATATATACATCAGCCCTGTAAAAGATACATCTGCGAATCCTGCAAAATCAAACGTTCAGATTTTCTGGTAATTCACATACATTTGAAAGATTAAACATGATTAAACATTATATAAAAACTCAAGATAATTCAGAAAGTCAATCACTGGACCTCGAATTGAAGTCATGATGGATATCACTCGATATATTCGTTTCGCTAACGCAGTGGCAGTAATTCCTTAAGATAATATTCTTAACTCTAGATATAGAATTATCAACATGTCATATTGTAGACAATATTATAGATTTCTCGTCTTCACAATTAGTCAAGCAATAATTCAACGAAATTATGTAAAATCCTTAATCTATTGTTTATTTATCGTTGTTGACTTATAAAAACTTAAATCTTGAGCTGAATACTAAATTTATATAATGTTTGAATATTAAATTTATATAATGTTTGATTAAATAATTGTAATTTAGATGTGTATATAAAGAGACATTTTCAAAATAAAACAAGCAAAATTATTATTAGAGAATAAAATAAGAATAAAGAAAATAAAGTAAAAATTAAAAAGATATTTTTAATAATCTCTATTTATTTAAGAAAAATAAATAAATTTCTCAAAGAATACATTACAAAAAGCAATGAGAACTCTCTTGCATAATTTAATCATACACATTCATTGCTTATATGTTCTACTTTTAATTATTTTACAGATCACGAGCATGAGTCTCTTAGCCTGCACCAGGTTACACACCTAGAACAACATATCGAAATTTACGCGACGTGCAATCTTTTGAACGTCACGAAATATCTTTGTGATGTTTTGCACAACTATTTTTTCCTTTCGCTACACAGAATCGTTCTAACAAGTATATAAGTCTTTCAGTATTTCATACTAATGATAGCCATTTACCTGGAAATGTATTTTACTGATGTAACATACAAGTAGAGAGCCAAAAAATTCAGAGAACAAATGATAATCAGAATTCAATCATTAAATGAGAGAAGTATAAGTAACTGAGAATATCATATTAAATATTTGTGGCCTCTCGTTCACAGGGAGATTTTTATATATATCAAATCAAGCAGAAACATTTACCGGGTAAATCGCCCTCCTATAAACTTAACATCAGGTCACATGTGCTCTTTTTTCCTCTAGAATCACGATACATGCAACTTATGGCTTTCGCCAAAGCCGAGCAATGGGGCACGAGTGAAGTTTCGTGTAACGATAGAGTTGATGACCCCAAAACGATTATGCGACACAACCGTCAATAAAATGCCGGTTTCCGAATAGATAATAATTTACATCGTCGATTAATCCTTTAACATTCTTTACACACTTTATATGAATTTATATTGCAACCTCTAATGGTATTGTCAAACATTTATGCACTTCGGCTAAGCGCATCTTAAGCTTAAGAGTAGTTTAAGGAAACTTAACGTAAACTTAATGCGGCTTAAGATTACATCTTTTCTCATACCCTTCGAAAAATGCTTTTTGTACGGCGCAATGATTAATTTTACAGAACGTTCTTCTTAACTCATTTCATAATTTTTTTGTGTATTGATAAGCTCCTTGAAACGACGTTCGTATAATTCTTTCTGCGCGCCACAGTGGCGAGTGTTCAATTAAAAAGTTAACGAGAAATCGTCGTCCGAGTGAATTGGAAGGATATTGGTCTTGCAATTAAACGGTCGGATGAACGATAATTAGCCTGTCTTTACATTTGTCTTCTCGAACGATAGCTTGAAAAATAAACTGGAGTAAAAATCGCAAGCAATTTCGTTAAACATCGCCGGAAACACATTGATTAATATTATAATCGACTCGATCGTGTATACTCACAATAGATTTTGCTTTCCTAAAAACAATAACTGGTTTAATTGTCTTAAAACGATATATGTATATATAT